TATAGACAACATATTCATACTACGACAGGTCCTGGAACAAAGAAATACATTTAGGCATCCGACAATGGTCGTCTTCCTGGACCTAAAGGCGGCGTTTGACTCGGTGGATCGTGAGGTTGTATGGCAGTGTTTGCCATTGGAAGGTGTACCAAATAAATACATTAACCTTATACAAGATCTCTACTCGAACACCACTGGTCGAGTGACAGCTTATGGCCTACTGTGAAACATGGTCATTGAGATTAGAAGATATTCGTAGGTTACTTGTTTTCAATTAAAGTTGTCTCCGAAGTATTGCTCGATTATCGTGGAACAACCGAGTAGGCAATCCTGTTGTTAGGAAGCGGGTGCTAGGTACGAATGGTAGATCAATAGATGAAGTAATGAAACTTCATCAGTTGAGGTGGTTGGGACATGTGCTGCTTATGCCTAACCACCGACTGCCTCGTCGAGCTGTCTCTCGCTGTAGAAATAGGTTGGACGAAAGCTAGGGGCGGCCAGACCAAAACAAGGCAGAAATCCATGAAGTCATTGACAAGTGGACTGAGTCATGTTGGCAGATGTATACTACCTGGTTGGGGTTCGCGAGATGATAATAATCGATGGTTAGAGACCCTGAATGACATGGCTCAAAACCGTTTGCAATGGCGCCGGTGCATTTATTCTTTGTGTTCTTTCAAATTCTAACCTTGTGAATTCCTCATCATCTCTATCTTTCTCTAATTTTACCCCACTGAATTATACTTCTTGAATAACATCTTCGAACCCTAATCTCTCCGATTACTTCTAATATTTGTACTAACTCTACTACTATGGGATTTGAATTGACAATTGTGTTTCTGTGGTATGACAACTTGAACTGCTGTACTTACGTGCAAAGGTTTACGTTGCATCTGACCTGCGCCATCGCAAATGGTTTTGAGCCATGTTATTCAAGGCCTCTAACCTTCAATTACTATCATCCCGCAGGCCCGAACCAGGTAGTCTACATCTGCCAACATGACTCAATCCAGTTATCAGTGAATTCATGGATTTCTGCCATGTTTTGGTCTGGCCACCCCTAGCTTTCTTCCAACCTTTTCCTACACCATAAAATATAACTCAACGAGGCAGTCGTTGGTTAGTCATACGTAACACATGTCCCAACCACCTCAACTGATGAAGTTTCATTACTTCATCTATTGATTTGCCATCCTTACCTAGCACCCACTTCCTAACAACAGCATTGCTTATTTGGTTGCCCCAGAACACACAAGCAATGCCTCGAAGGCATCTATAATGGAATACTAATAACCTACGAATGTCTTCTACTCTTACCGGCAATATTTCGCATCCATATATGAGAACGGAGCGAACTGCTCCTCAGTAAAATCGTCCTTTGGTGAGCAAACGGCCATCTCGCCTACGCCGTAAGTGACACAAATCGGAAAAAGCCAGTCGAGCCTTCTGTATCCGTGCTGAGGTTTCGTCACACATCAGGCCATCAGCACTGGTGAGATTCCCGAGATAAGGGAAGTGGTCAACACGCTCAACTATTTCACTCCTCATCACTAGTTCGGATGCCGGTGCAAGCCAATCCTGAAGTAAAATTTTTCATATTGAGTGGGATAATCGCATCCCAAACATACTTGCATTGTTGCTTTCGCTACCCACCACCGTTCGCGATCATGGCGTAGGCTTTTTATCAGCCTGCGCTTAATCTGACTTAGCTCTTCGTCATGTTCAGAGCCAGACGGGATGAGTTTCCGAGTATCTGTCAGTTCGGCAGATGCTACTAAGATCCAGAGCTTATCCCTAGCCTTATGGTCTACCTTACTAGCAGATATCACTGCTGTTTCCACAGATTTTCGAATGTCGTTCCAAGCTGCCTCGGCATGGGCATCACTTACATGGCTGTCTAACTGTTTTTCTAGTTGTTTCTGAAATATGTTCCTAGCTATGCTATCATTAGGTAGAACCCTAAGAGGTTTACTTGCGGTGTCTTTTCTATGTCCAGTAAGTCGCAAACAAATACGCGCTCGCACTAGAGCATGATTTGAATCTGAACAAGTGTTCCAGAGCAAGTGGCCGTCTTCTATCGAACCACTCCATCGGTTGCGACACCATAAGATCCACCCGAGTATCATCACTTTTCACTTAGTCTCCCTACTTGAGCATTGAAGTCACCAGCCAATATTACTACATCAGATGACCTAACTTTTTTCAGAAGGCTAGAAAGTTTTCGGTAAGATTCATCTTTTACCTCATCCGACCTGCAGTCAGTGGGAGCGTAGGCAGAAACAATGAAGAGGCAACGGCGTGTCTCGATCTCTACGAGTCCTTACTGTCTTGTCTACTGGGATCCATTTTAAGAGAGCTAGTTCTGCCCTAGGATCCAATGCTATACCTACACCAGACAGGCCACGAGAAGCATCAGCATGGCTTTCAGATACACAGAGCGTAAATTACAACGGTTCTTTATTTGAACAAGGTGAAGTCAAGTTAATTATTCTACTCGGATCCTGTATGCGCGTTTCGGAGACTCAGCTTACATCGATAGCGCGAGATCCTAAAGTCCTAGCTAAGAAAGCCTGTTGTCCTATTTTGTATAAGGTCCGAACATTCAACGCTCCAACAAGTAGTCTAGAACGGGGTTTCAGGAGACCAGGAATAACGCTTCGCGTACTCGAATCGTTTTCAGTTGGAAACGTTTTTTAGAAACTCTTCTCTAGATTCTGCATTAACTTCGCTTCTCATTAAGAGGATATTCGTTGCTCAGGATCTGACTCCAATTTGAACAAAGAAGTGAACATTCTAAGAAGTAAGTCTTTCTTTTAATTTCTGTATATCATTCTTAGACGAACCCTGTTTTTGCAACGGCGGTAATTAAAAGACAAATACGGAGTCACTTGGAAGAGTTTGTTTCGTTCACAGGGGAACGATGATAAAAAGCAAGAAAGAGAAGTGAAGGTGAACTAGCGAACTCAGTGAGGTGAGGCATGATTAGTTATTTATAGTTATACAAAAACAATCTAAACATGTGATAAGTGAAGCACTAGCTGCACTCAAGCTAAAAAGCCAACGACTGGTAAACAAGATTGAAAGACACGTGAATGACTTGGGAAGAATGAATTAATTAACTTTTCCAAAGGCCAGAACAATTCATATGGGCTCAACATATAAGTACACGCTACAAAATCGTTTTTATCATTATAGGCACTTTTTTGATGTTGCTGTTTTACCTTAACACTGCTGTCAGCCAGTCTGTGTGGAATTACGTAATTAATGAGCATCTGCTATCTATTTAGGCTATACTGTTCGTAGATGTTTTCTAGCTTTTGAATATGGAATAAGTCGTGTTTCTTTACATGATCACTGGAAACAGCTTTCCAAAACATTATACTAACGGTCACAAGTTTTCTTTTTATAAATCAACACCTGTGTCGGATTATCGGTCTTTTTAAATAGGGTATTAAAAACTGGAACTTTAGGTTCAACTTTAGATCTTTTAGGAAATGAATGATGAGAGTTACTGGACTCCTTTAGCCAGCCGTTGATTCTGTCATAACTTATGTAAAATGTCACTCTAACATCCCTGGTAGAGACAAACTACCGATTTGATTTATGCAAAACATTTTTTTATTGGTTGTTATACAGTAAAGATAAGAGATGATCCAGTTTCTACTCCGTTAGTTCATCTGAAAACCTCGTTAGAAAATCTAAAATGGACATCAAAAGTTAGTTGAATAAGTATTATTTCAACGTTTTGGAACACCGGTTTCAAACCTGTTATTTTCAATGTAATCAAATTTTCAAAGAGAAAGGTAACGTTTACTGATAGTCCTCTCTTTACAATTACGTTGACATCAGTTTCTGAACAAATAAAATCAAATAAATGAATGGCAGTGTCTGTCGAAGCGGTTTCTAACTCTCCATAGAACTTCAGCTAATCACGTTATGGTAACAGGTAAGGTGAGCTCATACTTTCAAAAATGGGGAATTCAGGGAAAAATAATTCTTATGTGGGAGATCATATATCACACAAATACGTTTGTGTAAATCAGCCGTCCTAGGGAATATTTATTAGATTGTTCCTATCCCGGTAATTAGGCTAAAAATATGGCTAAGAATATATTCATCATACAAATGAGATGTAGGTGTTTGTTACAAAATATATTACATTTATTACTTGGAATTCACAGTCTTGAAAATCATCTGACTCAACAGTACTTTGTTCGAAAGCATATTTTTAAATCTCATAGAATGCTGATTGTTATTAACACAGAATGGAAAGTAAAGATAGTTTTCGTTGTTTTACATATGCTTCATATTTAACATCGAGCTTCAACTAATCACCATAATTTTGCACATTTTAACCTCCATTTCAATAGTTGTTCTGTGTTCTGTAATCTTCTGTAGTGTCATACTCTAAAGAACATCAAAATTATCGCAGATAGGCACTTATTGCATTTTTCATCAGAGATGATTAATCTTCTGAGCAAGTCCGAAGTGAAGGCATCTGATTTAGTCTGTATAGTTACAACTAGTAGATCTAGCATCATGTTCAGTAACTATGAGACTGTCAAGATAAGTTATTCTTATAAATTAATTTACTGTATATTTACACCTGTAAATACACAGATGTCAATAGCTTATTAAGTCACTTAGATTGCCTTTAGAAAGCTATCATCATAGGTTCTGTCGATTCAAAATTTAAATTTTGACCAAATGAATGGTCTTAATTACCATATATGATAATGAATCTTGCACAAAAGTAAACGGCGAAAACGTAAATGGGTACTACATTTAAAAGACCGCTACAATGACCTTAAGTACTTTAATAAATAAATAAGTCAGTAAAACAAATCGTTTAGTGTGAAACTTACCGATTCTGTCCACGTATATACTCTTTTATGTTTGAATTACTCAAGTACCAATTTTTGGATGTTAATCCACATAGCCTAGATGATTTGGCTGTTTTTCTTCTGATTGGCTACTTGTCAACATTAAAGTTGTGTACTGTTAGCACCAAGCTGTCTAAATTTTAACTTTACATGTTTTTTTAAAACTGGTGATCACAAACGCCTGTAACTTGATGTTAATTGCTAATTCGAATGTCGTATTCTAACATAAATAATCCTACCTTATCTCGCTATTTTGACTCTAGTAATGATAACATTCGCTCAAGATCAAACTCTCCTCCACAAACCATTGGAAGCAGGACTGGTAGCGCGTTTATTCCAGATAGTCATAGCATTAGTAGTACAAAAAGTGTCAAATCCTATCCTAAGAAAGGAACAACACTTGCGAATGCTAATCTTACCGTTGAAGAACAGAATCATTTGGAAGAGGTGCTTGCACGCTTCGATAAATTTCGGCAAATTGAAGATACACGTGTAAAGTAGGTATATTAAAATATTTTGCAAATAATTTTATCTGTATTAGTTGCAATATCTTAGTGATCTTAGTGATGCATCCATTCTACATTTCGCCTTTATACAGTTCTGAATATAAATATTGTTTGAAACAAGTATCTGAATATAAAATATTTACAAAACTGATTAGTTTATACTGCACTACTACAAATTTTCTGTGATATTCATGATTCTACGCTGAAAGCTTCCCCTATTTAGTCTATTCATATTTTTATTCTATATTTTCTAGCAACATATAATCGTAACAATTTTCTCTTTACCTTATAATAATCTTCTTGACGTTTTCTTACTTAGTCTGGAAGGATAATTTCATCATACAGTTGGTTATTACTAACTCTAATTTATATCAAGGGTTTAATATTTTAGAATAAATATTTCAAAATAAGTTACATATTTTATCCGTTAATGGTAATGTTTGAAAATATTAGCTAATTTTGAAGGTACTATCTCAGTGTTCTCAAACTAAGTCGGCTTATATTGAAAATCCACTTCATTTACAAAATGTTTAGCCCACGGTTTATAGCCAGCAAAATATGACAGTATAAGAACTATCCACGGTCATCTGTCATACTATCAAAAACGACTTTTTCTTGATAAAATAAAATCATTTTTTAACTAATTTTAGCTGTCATTACGACCAAATTATTCAGTAGGTTAATAATCTCGAGAAATTATAAATTTTGACCTTGTTAAAGTGACATCCAAATTTGAAATTATTTCGAAGAACAAATCTTATCAAATATAATTAAACATGATAGAAGGGTTAAACAAGTGCTTTCTTCCAAACACCATTCATTTTGTGATCTCTGGTTTGTTTGGCTAAGCGAAATTAAGTTTTTGTTAAAACACCTTTGAACAAATCGTATTCTTGACCTTCTATCATGGGTACGAACCAATCTGGCTAGATCGTTACCTGAAACAAGATATTATGATCGTCCCTCAGTGAACAGGTTTTCATGTCGGAAAGGATGCCAACGAGGTAATAGTCGATATGAATCTGTATGACTTTTCTTCTTCAAAGAGGTCTAAGGAATTTGTGGATATAAGTAAATTTAGATAGAAAATGATTGAAACAACTAGTATCTAATTAAATAGTTCACAAAGTAGGTGTTCACTCAAAGAATTGCTTTTGAAATGTTTCATTTTTCACGTTTGATTGTAATGTTGTTACAATAATAATTTTACAATAATAATTTACAATAATAATAAAAATTTACAAAACTTAGTTCTCTCTTCACTGAATAACATATCAGTTAGTTAACCATTAAATGTTACGACTTTAATACATTACTCAATGTGTCTATTTTTTATCAAAGATAGAAAATATAAGTAATTTATAGAGTGGAATAAACCTGTTTAATTTTTTCATCCCTGTACTGTAGTCTGAGATACCTATGGCAATAAGAGGTGTTTTAAGTGCCATTTTTGTGAGTCTTTGTAAGTCGGCTTTGTCCTCCAATAATTGGCAACTTTCCCACCATAAAATGCTGTCTCAAATAAATTACAATGAGGAATGATTTTCTGTTTAGAGTCAGCTTATAGTTGTACTAAGGGGGTATCAGAAAACACTATTATTTAGGAGGATGAACATTTAGTACAATTGTTAATGGAAAGAAAACTGGTGACTAGGTTATTGTGTAAGATTATGTTAAGAAATTTTTAAAACAATTAAATGAATTCTCCTCCCCTATGCTATAAAAAGGTACCATGAAATGGTGTTGCAACTAAATGAAAATGAAAATTAACTAGTTAATTAGAAAGTATCAATTTTAAATTAATAAAGTCAATGCAATAGTAAGATAAAACAGTTCAATTTATTGAGTATTAGTTTTCAAATAAAAAGTTCGGACGGAAAGTTAATTTTTGTTCAAACACACATAATGAAGTTAGAACAAGGTCTATTTGAAAATAATTATGTTACTCGGGCTAATTCTTAAAACAAATAGTGTTCACCGAAATTCCGTTATTCCTGAAGTTTACATTTTTGTCGAATGAAGTATCGGAAAGAAGCACAATGACTACTGAATTCATTTTAGACTCCCTGAACTCAAACACACCACACTCTCTTGGTTCACTCGTATTTAGATGAATGTTTTACGCGATAAGGTTTTTTGAAGAGTTTTTCTCACTTACCTTACCATTTTTGCTTTTATGTTTTGAACCTTAAAAATCAGAAATCACTAGAAAATTATATCAGCTTACTACAGAACTCCTAATCAGTGCGCATTCCAAAATCCACTGGGGATTAAACCCAAGACCTCTAGGTCTCATGGAGTTCTCCTATACTCTTAGACAACTGAACCAAGATATAACGATTCGTATAGCACCAATTCCTCTTCACATTATTCTTTATTAAATTCATTAATTATGCAGAAGATATTTGAAGGTTAACAACCTCAACCGATGGATATATATATTATCACTTGCAACCGCATTAATGTGGTTTCTCTTTGCTGCAGATAATAACTCCTTACAATCGATATGCTAACTGCCACACAACAACTACTAATGAATTTATAGCAACTTCTATCGATAACATCTCATCTAATTTATAAATTGTTTTCGGTGTGTATTCGTCTCTTCTTTATATCCTTTACATTCTTTGAGTGAACATTTACCTTTCTCATCTCGCTTCTATGTGTTTTTTTTCATTCTGATTAACGTTTGACTCTTATGAATGGTTATTTGAAATTTTCAGTCAACTTGCAGTACCTTTTTAATGACGCAACAGCTTTTTCATCATATTGTAGACTAATATACGTAAAATAACTATATGGAATTTTATTCACTTAACTATTTTTATTTTATTTGATGATGCGATAGGTCTTTGAGTAAAAATTATGAACAGGAATCAAAGTTAGTAAACTTCGACGATATGTTTTCATTGAGTTGATGTGTTTCAATAGAAACAGTTGTACTTTTCGGGGTAAAATTCAAATTATTGTAGATGAATCCATCTGGATGACTACTGATTTTGAGCATAATTTACTTCATAATCATATGGTTAGCTTAGGCAAGCTTATTGTATTTTTGCAAGAAAACAGGGCTTAAAGGAGTTATTCACTTTTAGAGCTATGCCAAGTTGCTATGACAAAGTAGTGACAATTAGTGTGATTTATAATTTGCAATTAATTGTTATATACTGTTTAATACCTTACTGTTAAGCTGTATGGATATGTAATTTGATAACATTTAGGCTACCAAACTTATTTAACACACTTTGTTAGTTATGTTTAAGTTCTAGGGTACATCAAAAAATTTTATAGAACTAGTAATTCGGGATTAACTTTTCTATATAAACTACAATAGGATATTGCAGTAAGCTTAGTGCACGTATTTACACCAAACTCATTTAATAAGAATTTTTTTCCTTTATTTAAACAACTGGATAAGATCCATATTCATTCAAGTACATACATGAAGGTGTATGACTCTGCAAGTTTTTTAGTTGCAAGTTTTTGCTGTTACATTTTAGATTAAAAATTGTATTAAAGTGATGCAGTAAAAAAATATATGTGATTCAGTAGAAAATAATGTCTCTATGACTTGAAAGAAAGGCAGTAATTCCGATAATGAAAAGAATTATTATCCTTGAGATCATTAAATTGTTAAGATTTTGTGGCTGGTAAACTATATATGTACATATATACAGGGAAGTATTCATTCAGTTTTATGGTGTATTTATTGTCTAAAATTTTAATGCAGACAGTTTTTTAAGCATCAAAAGATCGCAACGAGAAAATTGATTCTTTTGCAGCTTTCCAATTATCCAATCACAATTAACAAGTCATAATTATTAAGTAAGTAATCTAAGATACGTAAATAGAAAGTTTACTGATTCTTAAGCAGGTTCTCTAAAGCAGAACGAGAGTATTTTAGTGATGTTTTTAATCTTTAGAATTAAATAATCTATTTAGGCTGAGACTGGATACCATCCAGGCTTAATAGTAATTTATATTATTCAGAAATCGTAATGGAATGTAATCTTTGGCATGGTATCATTTCGTAGCTATTCTGACACTGTAAAACTGCAATCATTTTAATTATGTATATCATAAATTGAAAATGGTGAATTTCACATCGACCATGTCTTAACCACCAATAAAATCCATCTTTGGTAAAGCCAAAAAAGTCACCCAAGTAGGAATAGCAAAAATTTTATGCCTCAAGTTGATGAATTTTAATTAATAAGTTAAAATTATATTTTAAAAAATTCATACAAAATAAACTGCGCTGTACTGTAATTACTATTATTGTTGTTTTCATTACAATAACAACAATAATTACTAGTAACAGTTTCCCGCAAGATAAGAAAAATGAATATATAATTAAGAACAAGAACTTATCGCAATGAGGAATAGACATTTTTAATGAACAAGAGGATAGTGTTTATAATGTGTACCGATAAGATCAGATTCGCAATCGGACGACTATTTCATATCACTTTAAACAGGCGGTTGAACATATATGTTTTGTACACAGCTTCAGTTTCTTATACCTGGTGCAGATCGCTTCTTTAATATAGAAAAGGCATAATCTTATGCCTCTTGAGAAATTATTCTGAACTTGCTATGTAACTAAGAAGACGTCCTAAGTGTCTCTTGTCCATTAAATAATGAACAGCAGCTTTTTCTAAACAAACCCTTGTATGTATGCGAGTGCACAAAAATAAGTCTTTTTGAGTGGAACCTGTCTTAATAGCCCTACAGGAGCAATTAAAATGATAAACACGCGCCTACAAGCATATCATCAATATATTATCCTTGATTAGTTGAGTCACTATTCAGTTACTTCAAAAATTAGGTTTCAGTCTAACGGCATTTATTATCGTTTTAATGGATCTGTTAAGTCAGTGTGAAAGTATTTTCCTGGTTATATCAGAGCAATCTTGGAGGCTTCTTTTTGACTGTGTCAGTTCGTGTCTTATTTTTAGACTTAAACACATATTTCTTTGTGGAATTAATGGGGTATCCATTTAGCAGTGCATAGTGGTTACGAAATCAATATACACTTTCTCTGTTGACATAGATATGACTATTTTCCTTTCATAAGGCTGTTTGCACATAGATTAGGTCGTTTATATACGCAGAACCTCGGTAAATAACTAATTTATATCTAAAGCGAACATAGTTTTATCTATCAACTTCGTATTTTTATCATATCTACAAATTCAGATAAGACTTTCAGATTGCGTTCGCCAAAGGATCAGTCATTTCCGACTACATGAGTAGAGTTTGTGAATGATTTGAAATATGTATAAATGTATGCACATTATGCCCAAACTATCTAAAATGAAGTGATCACAGTGTTTAATTTTCATCTTAACAGGATCTCCGTTAAGGATGATTTAGGCGTCTAATCTTTCAACCAAGTAATGTAACTAGTCATTGATCAGAACTGTATGACTTTATCAGGTAATTTTGGATTTATTGAAGCCATTAACGGTTTCAACCTTCAGTAGCAAAAACTATTTAATAACCATTTGGTCTGTATAACTGTACAAGTAAGCATTGCTATTTAATGATGTGTCTGATACCCAGCTACTCTTAACTCTAGGGGGTTTTAAATCACATATTGTTTGTATTCCTTGAAATGATTGCTTCATATATGTTTGTGTTAGTAGCTATTCAAATTTATCATATCAAATTATTCTCTCAGTATAAACAAACAATCATTTTTCTCCCTTTATGTAGTGAAAATAAAACTATTGTCATACAAAACAGTATCATCTATTAACAGTTTCATACCTGTCTATTGTGTTTCTATGTGGTTGAGTGACTGTGAATTCTGTATAGATTAACCATCTGCGTTTGGCAAGATAATCTATAAAGTCATATGATTACAATAAATTGATCTTTGTTTTTACATTGTTTCCATGTTTATATATATATATATATATATATATATATATATATATATACATATATATATATATATATATATATATATATATATATATATTGCCATCTTGTCGGTACAGTAAATAAAGCGAAATGAGAACTGCTTACCACTGTGAATTTATTAATAACATAAGTACGGTAGTTCAAACTTCAGATCACAATTCAGTGTGTAAAACCACTACTGCTTTTAAGGGAATAGGAAAATTCAGCGAAGAAGAGCTTTACGCCAGTTTATACTATTCAGCAAACCTATTTTTAATTTAATGACAACTGCGAAGCAATTATTTTAATGTCTTCCAGTCCTTAGAACCGTTCGAATCCAGTTGATCACGTTGAAATGCTGCTACTTTAGTAGCTGAATCAATGTCACAGTTTACGTTTTTGACACCAGATATCTTCTTTGAGAGCAGCCTACGGAATTAATAATGACAATTTTGTAGTTTTACACCACAAATCGATCTTAGATAACCAGTGAAAACCAAAAGGCACTAAACAGTTGTTTAGTTTTCTACCGAGGTTCCTCAACACTGCATATCCTGAAACTCATTGGGAATTGAACCCAGGACCTTCTGACCAAGTAACGAACGCTCATCATTAGGAAACCTAATTTAGCATCTGTTAGTTCCTAACTTCGGTCGATTCGTCATATTGATCAGCTACCCATTATCACCACTGATAGTATTTTTCCAATCCACACATGGTTTAGCTCCGTCAGTCATTAGTGCTAGCCTGATAATTTTCGGTGTAGAGGGTTATGCGGATAGTTGGTTTTCAGTAAACAAGAAGTCTTGTTTGACTGAGAGTTTGGATGCTGATGATGAATTACAATAGCGAAAGGATCATCAGTCTCAGCCGTTTTGCTATTTAATGATTTATGAAACGAAAGTGACTTTAGGTGAAGACTACGCTGAAAACCCACTAAAAAATTACAAATCATTTGAATTTCATTCAATGAAAACACGTTTTTTCATGGTGTTATGAATCCATATCAACTAAATAATTATATAAAATCAGGTCATGCATTCGTTCAATCGTAAAAACAAAAAAAACTGTCAGCACCGTGCAAAATAAATTCCATATGAAGCAGTTATTTTAAGAAAAGGGTTCTTGGGAGCACAAAACTCCACTCTAAGTAATACTTTGCACCATTAATGTCCTAAGGTCAATCCTTTTCATATTTATTTTCTTACGACCTTCACAAACATTTGGTTTGAGGTTTAAATACTTTATTTTCAGGTTATTGAATAATTCATGTTCTACTTGAGAGGGATAAATGATTGGATTAAGTTATTCTGCATTCTAGTATCAATATAATTATGTGGTTATTCCCTAGATAGAGAATAAATTGTTATTATCTAGTTTGTATGGACATGCATGATTTACTATACTTACTTGATAGAGAGAAATAGTCAAATATCTTTAACAGAGTAAACAGTAATAATTCAAGACTTGTAGCATTGACAATTCTTTTCTGTCTTACCATAATTAGCAATTTCAATCATTTTTTTATGCCCCACGCACACATCTAGAAATCTCAGTCTACCGTTTTTTTTAATATCTAATCGAAATTCGTTAGCGTTATTATTTACCCAGCTTGAATTTAAGTGCATTATTAATTGGAAACTAGCATAAACGGAAATTCGCAAAGCCCAACATATTATTTATAAAATGAGATATTATGATGTATAAACTGTTCTCTGGCTAATTTATTTATTTTTATACCGGTAAAATATTACTTTAGTCATTGAGTGGTAAATGATTCGAAAGGTATTACTTTTGCTAACCTATATTAAATCACACTACTTAATTAAAGCTTACGCACCATCTGTATCGACTTGTGTTTTATGATAGTCATTGTGTAATGAAACACAGATACTTCAGTTTATTAAATTGGGACTAGTTTATTAACTTCTATTTAGTTATATGATTTTGTAAATAGTTGAAACTAATTATTGAAGAAATGTGTAGAAAAAAAGAACAGTAAAATGACTATTGTTTGAAATTTAGAGACTCTCATTCGAATGTGTTAGAAGGGCTAATTAAAATGTCATTCACCTAAACAATTGAAAAATGTTATTCACGTTAGGTCGTTACTCTCTATTTCTCTGTAATGAGTACGTAATGAATAATCAAATTATTCTCGTTAAAAGTCATGTTTAGCATATTCAGCTAATATGCTACTGGAATCAAAGCGTTTTGTTTAGCTAAACTAAAAGCTTGAGTAATCAGCATAGAGCAGAAAATGCGTATTTGAGAGAAATTAATATTTATATTTTGAAGCTTTTTTTAAAAGCTGGTTAATATGGATAGTTTACAAGACCGTCTATGGTTATTTACTCCACATTCAGAAAACTTCACTTAATCAATAATCAGTGTGGATTTATTTACCGAATATAAACTATATAATGTACTATATGATATCAAACCATCATAAACTCCTGAAATCTCTGTTTACCTTTATTCGGTGGTAGAATTAGCCCTCAACATTATTCTCAAGCTACGGATGTTTAGGTCGAAGTAGTTCCACTCAATAAAACATCGAATACGTTTAGATAAATCAAAAAATCTTAAGGCAGTAAATATATGTTTTTGTTAACTCTAAAAATAGTAGTTTATAAATTCGTTTAGTTGAATTTAATCAGCTTTCTGATTTAGTTATTTTGTGAATGCATTCATTATAAAACTTAACTTCGTGGTTGTTTCTATTTATGTATGATGCACTTTCAAAAATGAAAATAAATTGTTTGTGCTCTGCTTCGAGAATCTTATACAATTCTAATACATGAATAAATAAAATACTTTACTTCCTAGTGACAATTTTATGCAAATATTTCAAAATCATTTTCACAGATTGTACAAATTCTTTACTTTTCTTTTTAAATTTTAGACAGTTACGTCAAGAAATGATTGAAAAACAAAAAGTTCGTATAAAAAAGACAGAATCTATTGGTGAAGGTCGATGTAATAATTGCAATACCCTATTTGTCCCACTATTACAACCGGCCATTCGATGTGTCAATTGTCAAGGGGATTTCTGTCGTATATGTACAGAAAAACTACATAATACTAATATCGTAATGTGCAAATTTTGTCGATTCGAAACGTAAGCTACCAATTTCTCATTATTATCATATTAACTAAGTCGAATTAAATCCGACTATTGTTCAGTATACTTACTTTGTAACTTAGGTCAGTTACCCTTAATGGAGCATAGACCACCGACCTTGTCTACTATACTTATGTTCTACATGGTGTAGTTGCTCACACCTGATACTGTCACTCAATTTTTGTTGGATAACATTTGGAACTAAATTGCTGTATTCAAACCGTAATATTAGTTATAATCTATTAGTGTGTATAAATAAATTGTTTCATTCATAGAAAGTACCGAATTCCAAGTTAACTTAAATAGAGTTTAGAAGTTATAATGAAACATTCGAATTTATAATAGCTGGATTCTTGCTATAATCGACTGTGCAATTGCTAAGTGATATAGAATGGTTATTGTTGTTAAATAATGAATAAACATTTTTCTGGTCTTTTTGAAGCATAATTTTCCTGTCAGTAAAATGACTGATTTAGCAGCTCATGAAATCTTACACTTCTTGTAAGAGATGAACTCAAGTCATCAAACGCTGAATTAGTTTTCACTTATGAATTCTTTGCCTTTTATCTCTTTTCAATAATACTTAAAACATGACTATTTATTGAATAGATTGCCATAGTCATATTAAAGTGTAACTTTTATTTAACATATTTTCATTGATTACTTTATAGTTTTATTCTTTCTTGTAAACTAAGTGAATTGCTGTTATCGATCTCGAATTAAGAATAAGGACACTTCAATAAAAACAATACACAGTGAAACAATTGTTCCACTTTATAATTGTCAATGAACATTCCTTGGAACAAATTGAATTCTATTCTCAAGCTTTCTTTGTTATCATTATGGTGACTTAAGTGACAATAAAAATTAAATTGGTGAATAAAACATCACTGAAAAATACGAATTCATAAAATTTTTCTCAAAAATAAATAATAAATTAAATTGAAAACAGTTTATTAACTCTGTATAATTACACATTGATGGATTGAATAATTCACTTGATAAATGATCATTTAAATATCAATTCATCATCAAAAATCTGTCATAACTATGACTTAAGCACGTTTCTTATTATTATAAATGAATTCATCAAAGTCATTTTAGTTAAATAAAGTTTAAAATTTAATTTACTATTAAATGAAAAAATGATGTACGTATTTGTATTAGATTAATTGTGTTTTTTAATCATGGAAATTTTCCATTCATATGATTTTAAAGAACTCTTACACTAGTCACTCACACATATAATTTCATATTTTAAATAACATTATATCGGACTGCTTCAGCATGTACTCTAGAATATCGTTCGCGGATAGATCTTTTGTTTTTATTAAAGATTGTTACAAAAAGCCTAAATTCAATGGGCTTTATCTCACTTTTTCCAATTTTGTCTTCAGATAGAGTTAGATATGCTAAAAATTCAGTTTTCTATTAAACATATAGTATTGAATAAACCCACTGTTATTGCTAACATTATTATTATCATCGTTATTATTGATATTATTGTTGTTATTATTATTATTAGGAGTAGTAGTTGTTGTTACTGTTATTGTGGTTGTTGCTGAAGTGATAATAATGGATTTAACAACAGTAGTAGTGGTGAGAAGAGAAACAGAATCAAAACGGTCTAAATTTAATGAGACTGGTATCAAAATTTGAGAATTATGGATAAATTTGCAAGTGGGGAGAATGAGGCTGACATCACAGTTGATTTATTTTACGAGGTGAAGTGAATTGCCAACTTGCTCAGACTGTATATTACTACCCCTTCAAGTCACACCTTTGTTCTCCATTACATACTTAACTGTTTTTCCTCCTACGGAATTGTTTGACTGCCAGAGGTTTTAGTTTTATTTATTTAGTTGTTGTTGTTGTTGTAATGTTCTGTATGAGTGCATGCTATCGTGATCGTTTCTTTTGATTTGAATCTATGAATAACAATACTTCCAGTGATTAACTTTCGATTGCTTGAAATGTTTCAAATAATAGTATTTATATTTCAATCTTCATAAAATATTTTATTCATTCCAGGCAACCGAAGATCGTACGTTTGTAACTTTAATCCACATCAATTTGTATTGAGGGTTTCATTAGGATGATATAACTTAAGGCCAAAAGAAATATATACTCTTATCATGCTGTGTATTTTGATCTCCTAACCCTTTTCTCTGATGGTAACTTCCAGGTGACGCTCCTCTGCATACTATTTATAAGCCTTTTTACGAGCGACATCCACCGCAATGCAGTATCATAGAGGAGTTTAGTTAGTTCCTATTATGTAACTGCTCTTACATATGAGCTAGCCTGCTCTGAAAACCGTCTCAACAAATGAGACTAAAATCCTGACTAAATGATTGTAATATTTCCTTGCAGCTATTTATTTGACTATTTTTTTTTTAAAATAACTCTACAGGATTGTTTTCTATACAGTGAGTGAAGTAAACCAACTTAATCTCTACTGGGAAATTTCTTTTTTCATACATAACACAAATTGTCTTAGTAAGCTTTAACAACTATTTCTAGTAAATATATATATATACCATCTAAGCTATAATTTTGTACCAAGAACAATCAATAATCTATAAAATATAGTGAATATTAAATTTCAGAGTAGTTGATAATTAATAAGAAATTTCGATCAAACTATTATGACCTCATTATTCAATAAATGTTCTAATATTGTATTGCTGATGCGTATTTTATTGACTCATTTTCTTCAAAAATACAACTACGGAGTGATAGTGAACTCAACTCAGCGAACTTAGTTGATTGATTAATTTGTGAACAATGTTGACAATGAGTTAAATCTGGTTTATGTAAAAAAAAAGAAAAAAAACAACCGAGTAGCACTCAAATAGCACTTGACTAAAACTGCTGCTTTTACTACTTTTGCTTACGCAAGTAGTCAGCTGACGCTGTCTCAAATGATCCTTGACAAAAATTGATGCTATTGTATCATACGTTACTCACTAGGCATAACTTTTTAGGAGTGTTATGTAAATATGGATTTATACCTAAAGTTAAGACAGATTTATGCTAGCCCGAGACATTTGTTATTTAGATTAACTGTATTTCACTTATTGTAGAAAAACGAAGATGTGACTGTAATCAGTTTTCTGTTGGCCATTTGTGAACTAAAACCACTGGCTTAACTGATTTCATTTCCATTCATCTTCACGATAGCTAATCTAGTTAAAATGATTTAAACGTTATTCGCATAGGGTGATAATCACTATTTAGTTTTGTTAATTTAAATCTATTTGATAAAATTTTAAAAATCTGTGAAAATAGTCTTTTTTACTTAACTAGTTCAACCAGTGTTTTAATAAATACAATTGTCACGATGAAAATAGATTTTTGCTACCATTCATTGACTTGGTGTAACAATGACTGTAAATAAATTGTTTATTTGATATTAGGAAGAGCAAAATTCTTAAATTTACGCCACAAAAAATTACTCTCGTGTTCACTGAACATATATCATGTAAGCTAAGCTTATCGGGTCTCAGTAACGATAAACTGTCATGTTCACCTACCCCGAAGATATCACAATAATACTATAACGTGAAAGGCAATCAGTGAAAATCGGTTAGGACTGTATTACAGCCATGCCATGCTGAAATTCACCTATAACTGGCTGTATGATTATAAATAAGAACTTATACTGTACACTTTAATTATTCGGTCATTATTCCTAAATTATTTTATTTTGCTGAATTGTTTACTTACTTGAAAAAGTTTCCATAACTGCAAAAACCCTGTTGTTTTTGTCATTTATTTCAAAAACATACATGTTTTTGATGTGATACACTGGACAAAATGGTGTTAATTTTCAGAACAAGCAGAAGCAAATACCATGGAATCAATTAATGTGCGCGCACGAATAGTACAGTCAAACACAACCGAGATACATTTTTTCCTAGTTAACTATTTTCAACTTACTCTAAGAAGAATATAATATAGTAAAAAACTGCAATGGAATTGTCACTAAATCCCATTCTGAGACATCTATGATAAGGTCTCAAGCCACTTTTTGACTCCACCCAAGAGGCCATGATGAGTCTGCTGAGGTTAGTCCTATACGTTCCATTATACGAGACCACGTGGTGACCAAATGTCCTATTTTCTTTAACTAGTTAGAGTACTGGCAAACATTACGCGACATGTAAACCACTAAAACGACATTAACAAATTCCCGGTGAATTTTTGTCCTCTGAAACGAAACGGTTTTTGAATAACGTAACTGGATAAGTGATATTCCGGATTTATTCAATACTTAATTTACCAATGCATTTAATATCGTTAATTGTGGATTATATTTTTAATTCTGATTCAAATTAGTGATTAATCATAGTTGAATATTTATCGATTCACTCCAACCAAATTCACTTTAGTGACTCATTCTAACTATTGTAATCTCAAATATATATATATATATATATATATATATATATATATATATATATATATATATATATATATATATATGTCACTGTATGTGTTTGTAGTAACAAGTTATTTCCGCAGTGTTGCTCACAGTAAATACACTTGAAATTAAGTGAATTGATAAATAGTAATTCTTAAGATTGGCATAGAAATTAGTATCTATTATGATCATAACCTATGTATATTTACAGTCATGCAAACTCTGATGACAGAACAATGTGCGTAAATTATGACGTATTTCAACTTGGCAAAGAGCGGTAAAGAAAATATTTTGTTATAGATTTCTGTCAGGTGATGGTTGTCAAATTAACCTTTTAATAAATTAATTCAGTTACATTTTAAACTAACCCTGATAGTTGATTGAAAGTCGTTGGTTAGAAACCCTAAACCTAGATTTCGTGGTACCTGTAGTCTCAAGGTGACCGATGGTTCCTGTGGGATTTAAGCCTCCGTAACTCGATTCCACACTCTCAGGCATTACCACTGATATGTTCGTTCTATGGTTGACCTCCCACAGGACTAAGGTATTCACAATTTATTTGTCACCGTGT